TCAGAGGCGCCGCCAGGTGGGGCCCAGCGCTGATCCAAAAAGTCCGCGCAGACCGCGAATTTGTGTTTACAGTTTTTCTTCAAAAGGGGCTCAGATCTATTGAGGTTCAGATTTATTGAGGCTCAGAAAAGTCTCAGATCTTTTTTCGTCTACAGTCTTCCTCCACTGAGGCTCAGAACGGGGTCCCGTTGCTGGGCCGCTCCTCAAATCTAGGTCGGGGAGCCGATTTGAAGCCAAGGTTCGCCGTGGCCAGAAAAAATCCCGTCGTTCCATGCTCAGCGCTCCATACGGCAGCGGGAAGCAATTAGTGGACACTCCCCCGCTCCCCAAAATTTAAAGCTAACACGCGCGGGGGGGACTGCGGTCGAAGTGCGACTCCTCAGTTCCACCGCCAACTTTGAACTTTGGGGCAGGGGGAGGCGTTGGCCGATGAATATGGCATGCATGTTCACCGTTTTTCTGCCGAGGCATGCATGGTTGCACGATTGCTGCATGACCGCTCGTCGCCGTTTCGTTCCCGAGGTGGTGCCGGCGCCCGCTGGAGGAGCTCCTGCGCAGGTCGGCGCGGCTTTCCGGGCACGGGGTGCGCGAGCAGCGCCATGTGTCTCTTCGCCACCTCAGGAGGAGGAGGAGGAAAAGGAGGAGGAGGAGGAGGAGGAGGAGGAGGAGGAGGAGGAGGAGGAGTGGGATGGGGTGGGGGGCGGGGGGTTTGGCGGGGGGTGGGGGGGGGGGGGAGGGGGGGGGGGGGGGGGGGGGGAGAGGGGGGGGGGGGGGGGGGGCTGGAGAGGGGGGGGGCGGGGGCGGGCCGGGGGGGGGAGGGTGGGGGGAGTGGGGGGGGGGGGGGGGGCTGGGGGGGGTGCGGGGGAGGAGGAGGGGGGGGGGTGGGGGGGAAGAAGTAGTAGAGAAGGGAGGGAGAAGTACAGTGTGGAGGACGAGGAGGAGGAGGAGGAGGGAGGAGGAGGAGGAGGAGGAGGAAGGAGGAGGAGGAGGAGGAGGAGGAGTTGAGGAAAGAAGAGGAGGGGAGGAGCAGTGAGGAGGAGGAGGAGGAGGAAGGAGGAGGAGGAGGAGGAGGAGGAGGAGGAGCGAGGAGGGGAGGGAGCAGGAGGGGAGGAGGAGGCGGAGGAGGAAAAGGAGACAGGACGAGAAGAGGAGGAGGGGAGGAGGACGACGAAGAGGGAGGAGGAGGAGGAGAGGACGAGGAGGAGGGACGATATGGAGGAGGTGGAGAAGAGGGGAAAAAGAAGCGGAAAAGAAGAGCGACAGACAAGAAAGAAAGGAAAAGACGAGGGGAGGACGAGGAGGAGGAGGAGGGGAGGAGGAGAGGAAACGGAGGAGGAGGAGGAGGAGGAAAGGAGGAGGCAGGCAAAAGGAAGAAGAGGAGAAAGGAAGAAGGAGGAGGAGGAGAGGAAAAGGCAGGAGGGGAGGAGGTGGGGAGGAGGAGGAGGAGGAGGAGGGTGTCAAGGAGAAGGAGGAGGAGGAAGAGGAGGAGGAGGAGGAGGAGGGAGAAGGAGGGAGGAGGAGGAGGAGGTTATGAGGAGGGCTATGGAGGAGGAGGAGGAAGAGGAGGAGGGAGAGGGCAGCAGCGGAGGATTACGGAGAGGAGGAGGAGGAGAGGGAGAGGAGGAGGAGGACGAAATGGAGGAGGAGTGGGAGGGGGAGGAGAAGGAGGAGGAGGAGGAGAAGGAGGGGGAGGAGCAGTACGAGGAGGAGGAGGAAGAGGAGGAGGAGGAGGAGGAGGAGGAAGAGGAAGAGGAGGAAGAGGAGGAGTAAGCCTCGGGCCCAGGCATTGTGTCGTAGCAGGTTCGAGTCAAATGTGCGCCGCATGCGCCTCGCCTTCTCTTACTGTACCCTTCGTTTTTCCGCTACACCATTTTTCCCTCATCCCAACCTGTTTGGCGTAGGAAAAAGCGCGCTTTGCGCGCAGCGGATCGCACCCTTCTGCGTGTTGCGAGTGCCGCCCAGCAACTTCGGCTGCATCACGCATCCCCGAGGAGCGATTGATTGCCCATCATGGGCAATATGATAAGGCCAAGGGCGGCCCCAAAGGTGGAAAGAAGGATAAAAGTTGATCGGGTAAAAATCAAAGTAGTGGCAAAGCAGCAGCGTCAGGTAGCAGCAGATGTTTTCCGGCCCCCGTGAACTACAGCTGGTGCTGCGGGGTTTGCCAAGCACAGGTCTCATTGAATCATGAATGGCGTCGGCACTGTCGCTGCCACTGGAATATTCCCAGCCGTCCAGCGACCGCTCCATCTGGCGCTGAAGGTGGAGGCACAAGAGGCCAGACGCAGGAGAACCAGCCCTAGGTGGGCCCAGCTATCCTAGCCGTTTAGCAAGCTCTGGTGGCTATGGAGAAGCGCGCAGGTGTGGACAGTGGCAGCCCCGAACATCAGCAAACCATATACGTGACATGCTTGTTGAATTGCGCTGGGACCGCGATGCTAAGAAGTCGCCGTCTGATTTAGTGCAGGGATATTCCCAGCGACCCCAGAAAGCTCAGCAGGCAGTCGAGCGCCACAAGCAGAACATCGAGAATTATCAGACAGCAGCCACTGAGGCAGAAGGCATTCTCGAACGCAAGAAGAACACCCTCGAGCTGGAGATAGAGCAGTTCAGCACCAGTCAGGACCGCGTAAAGGAGCTCACCAAGGAGCACGACCAGCAGTTGGCCCTCTCCATGTCAGCGGCGACCGCAGGGGCCCCACCACCAGCCAGCGGACCAGGGCTTCAGCTTGCCGATCTGAGAAGCGAACTTGGGCAGGCGGGCTTATCGCAGAGTCCGAATCTCGGCCACGCCTTCTCGTTCTCTGCACAGCGTTTTGAAGGGCATCTTGCGATGCGGGCAGGGGCGGCCCACGCGGCGGCGGCTGCAGCCGCTGCTGCCCCGGCGGCTGCGGCTGCTGCCGCGCCCGTGGCCGCGGCTGCGCGAGCCCAGCAGCCTGCGCCGCCCGCCTCGCAGCCTGGGGCCGCAGCGGCGGAGGCACCAGGCGCCCCCCCCCCCCCCCCCCCATCGCCCCCAGAGCAGCCGCGTGATCAGGACGATGAGAAGGATGGAAGCCGCTCGCCCAGGCGCAGCGGTGGCCTCCGCCCTTCAGAACAGGAGGATAGGCAATACTTTCAGGGCGCAGCCTGAGCCGCATGAAACCTCGCCTGCGCTTCGACTGTCTTCGAAGTCCAGCATTGTAGATGGCTCGCGCCGTAAGTCGGCCCACGAGATCCTAGAGCCTTTGGGGTCCGAGGTTGTCTCTCTCCAGGGCGCTAAGCTTGCGGGCGACAAGTTGCTTTCTGCCAAGCTCAAGTTGTTGGCCGGAGGTTGGCTTTCGCACTGGGGGCCTGCCGGGCCTGGGGAACCTGGACATGTCAAATCAGGGGTGGTAATTGTGGTCAGGAGGCATCTGGATGCTTGGGCGGGCTCCGAGGGGGTCATGGACATTCCTCAGTCCCCGGCGGTTACCTGCTATCTCAGAACATCGAGCTTTAGCGTCATCCAGTTCTATCATTCCAATGTTATGTTGGGCAAATGGCTCGTGGGCAAAGCATGTCGCATTGGGTTCACGCGTGCCCTGGGGGCTGAGTTTAACCTGAGCCCGCGCGCGGTTGCCATTGGCATTCCTCTTCGCCACCCCCGAGACATGTTCGCCCTGCGCGCCGAGAGTCTCTGTGGACCAAAATGCTGCCCTGTCGCCGCGTCGCCCTGCCCTGCTCTGCGTAGATATCCAAACCAAGGCCAGGGTGATTCAAAAGTTCGCCCCCTAGTCATCTATCCCTGTTGCCCTACCTGCTGCCCCCCCCCCCCCCCCCCCCCCCCCCCCCCCACCACCCTACGCCCACGCGGCTCGGAGGTCTGGTGGGGGGGGGGGGGGGCGCGGGTTCTCGTCGCCGCGGGGGCGCGGAGGGGGGCATCGCATTATGGTTTGCGAACAACCGGACCTTCGAGCAGAGGGCCCGGGACAAAACGCCCCGCCCGCTGGAGCACAATTTGATCACCGCTGCCAGCGTAGACAAGTCCGACGCCCACATCGACCGGCGGAAGGGCGTCGCAAGTTCGAGAGAGAAGAAAGTGGCACGGGTGAAAAACGACGTGGAGATAACCGCAGAGCACGAGGCGGAGATGGCGAAGCAGGCCGTCGCGGAGGGGGCAAAGGAGCGGAGGGGAAAAAGGCAGGAGAAGGAGAAGAGAGCGCAAAGAGGCGCAGGTCCCCAGTCAAGCAGTGCACATACACAGGCATATGCAAGGATTTCTTCACAGCCCTGCTCAGCACCGATTCCACATGGAGGAGCAGGAGGAGGGCGAGGAAAAGTATGTTCACGCATGCGGTGGCGCACCCATCGCAATCCAGAACGGCAGCCCCAATGACAGAATGTCCACGTTGCCCACGTACAACATTCATTAGTTTATGGCTTTCCCGGAACGGTTGGAATGCATGCTGCTTTAAGTTGGGCCTCGGCGCTGGGACGATATCGCTTTCGCAGAGACGTGGGCGGAGGGGGGCAATGAAGTTTTCACAACAGGGGGCGCGCGCGGCTGGGAAGCGGCAGAAGCAAAGGGCGAAGTGGAGTGGGCATTTTGTTGCGCAGTCGCTGGCATCGCACATCCTCCCGGGTCCATTATGATAGGGTCGCGGCTGCAGGGGCGAGCGTTGCGGGCGTCGGTTTCAATGTCTGGCAGCGTGCACGCCGCGCGCCGGCATGGAAGGGGCGAGGGTCGAGGTGGCCCACGCAATGCTGGAAGACCACATGCGAAAGTATAGATATGATGGGATGCTCTCTTTTCAGGCAGGCGACTTCAACGCAGAAGTCGGCCTTCGCACAGACGACTGCGACGACGACGCGATGGGCCTGAAGCCCATCAGAATGCGGAACAGATGAGGCGAGAGCTTGTTGCAGTGGCGCGCCTTGCACAAATTGTCCCCAGCGAACGGCGAACGCTCTCGCGAGCGCCAAGGCGCCAAGCCATGGGCGCGCAGCCATGGGGGCTTCCGAACGCAGTTAGATTATAGATCACGAGAAAAAACGCTTTCGACCGGATATTCTGCACTGCGGCGCGGCGCCCTGGCTGGACGCGGGGCCAGATCATCGCGCCGTGGAAATGAAGATTTCGATGCGTCCAGTTGACCGCGCATTGCCCAGAACACGCCGCTTGAAATGGAATCCTGGAGTAGACACCCGGCTGCGCGCTCAGACTTTGGATTCTCGTTGCGACGGGCATCCCGCCAACAGCCTGGACATCAATGTCAAGACTTTCTTTCTGGAGAAATCCATGGCGAACGCTCTCTCGCATGCCGCGCCCAGGGGCAACAAGGAGGTGACTGGTGGCATGCGGAAAGACATCGGCAAGCTAATAGAGGAACGTCGAGGCCAGGATCTCGCGGCCCAGGAGAAGAAGACACAACGGCTGCAACTAAGCAAAATCATCGAGAAGACTGCCCGCCGGAGCCTGGCTGAGCAGAAGAGCGCAAACACCGAAACTACGCCGACGAGTTCCCGCGGTGTTTCCGCCGTTCCGCGCGAGGGGCGCCCGCGACAGAAGACGCATAGTGCTAGCATCGCAGACGACGATGGCACAAAGCGGCTTTCCAAGGAAGAGATCCCAGAGGTTTTCGCTAAGTTTTACGAGAAGCTGTACTCCACGAGGTGCCAGAACAGCACTGATGACATAATGGGCGCCCCTACTCCAGCTGCGCCGGCCTCTACTTCTCTGGAATTCGCCCGAGCGCATGCCAACATGAAGACTGGCAGACGCAGTGACGAAGCTGGGGTGGCAGCGGAGATGTTAAAATACAGTGGGCAGCCTTTTCGCGATCTCGCATTGAGCACGTTCAACGACGCGCTGCGTGCCAAGGCAGAGCCGCCGGCCAACTGGAGGAGAACACGTTTGGTCGTCTTGTTCAAGAAGGGAGACCCGCTACTTCCAAAATTATCCCGGCAAAGCAACCGAACATCGATGTGTAGGAGCATATCTGGAAGCATTCCCCTTAAGATTCGGATGAGAATCCAGTTGTAGAATTCTGCTGTTCTCGCAGTCGTAGTCGCATTCGCGATGACAGTCGCAGCGGCAACGGCAGTCGCAGTCACAGCCTCAGCCTCAGCCTGCCTCAGCCTCAGCCTCAGCCTGCCTCAGCCTCAGCCTGCCTCAGCCTCAGCCTCATCCTGCTTCAGCCTCAGCCTCAGTCTGCCTTCAGCCTCGGCCTCAGCCTCAGCCTGCCTCAGCCTCAGCCTGCATCAGCCTCAGCCTCAGCCTCAGCCTGCCTCAGCATCAGCCTGCCTCAGCCTCAGCCTCAGCCGCCTCTGCCCAGCTCAGCCCTGCCTTCAGCTCCTCACAGGGTCTGCCTGTCGGCCTCGGCCTGCAGCCTCAGCCTGCCCAGCCTCAGCCTGCATCCAGCCTCGGCCTCAGCCTCAGCCTGCCAGGCCACAGCCTGGCCTCAGCCTCAGCCTCAGCCTCAGCCTGCCTCAGCCTCAGCCTCAGCCTGCTTCAGCCTCAGCCTCAGTCTGCCTGCAGCCTCGGCCTCGGCCTCAGCCTGCCTCAGCCTCAGCCTCAGCCTCAGCCTCAGCCTCAGCCTCAGCCTCAGCCTCAGCCTCAGCCTCCGCCTGCTTCAGCCTCAGCCTCAGTCTGCCTTCAGCCTCGGCCTCAGGCTCAGCCTGCCGCAGCCTCAGCCTGCACAGCCTCTAGCCCTTAGCCTCAGACTGCCTCGCCGCGCCTGCCTCAGCCTCAGCCTCAGCCTCAGCCTCAGCCTCAGCCTCCGCCTGCTTCAGCCTCAGCCTCAGTCTGCCTTCAGCCTCGGCCTCAGGCTCAGCCTGCCGCAGCCTCAGCCTGCATGGAGCCTATGCTCAGCGTCAGCTGCCTCAGCCTCAGCCTGCCTCAGCTTCAGCCTCAGCCTTGCCATTGCGCCTCAGCCCAGCCTGCTTAGCTCAGCCCTCAGTATGCCTCAGCCCGTCCTCCGCCTCAGCCTGCCTTCAGCCTCAGCCTGCATCAGCCTCAGCATCAGCCTCGGCCTGCCCAGCATCAGGCAGCCTCAGCCATCAGCCTGCCTCAGCCTCAAGACTCAGACTGCCTGCCTCAGCCTCAGCCTGCCGCAGCCTCAGCCTGCATCAGCCTCAGCCTTAGCCTCAGCCTGCCTCAGCCTCAGCCTGCATCAGACTCAGCCTCAGCCTGCCTCAGCCTCAGCCTCAGCCTGCTTCAGCCTCAGCCTCAGTCTGCCTTCAGCCTCGGCCTCAGCCCCAGCCTGCCTCAGCCTCAGCCTGCATCAGCCTCAGCCTCAGCCTCAGCCTGCCTCAGCATCAGCCTGCTTCAGCCTCAGCCTCAGCCTGCCTCAGCCTCAGCCTCAGCCTGCTTCAGCATCAGCCTCAGTCTGCCTTCAGCCTCGGCCTCAGCCTCAGCCTGCCTCAGCCTCAGCCTGCATCAGCCTCAGCCTCAGCCTCAGCCTGCCTCAGCATCAGCCTGCCTCAGCCTCAGCCTCAGCCTGCCGCAGCCTCAGCCTCAGCCTGCTTCAGCCTCAGCCTCAGTCTGCCTTCAGCCTCGGCCTCAGCCTCAGCCTGCCTCAGCATCAGCCTGCCTCAGCCTCAGCCTCAGCCTGCCTCAGCCTCAGCCTCAGCCTGCTTCAGCCTCAGCCTCAGTCTGCCTTCAGCCTCGGCCTCAGCCTGCCTCAGCCTCAGCCTGCCTCCGCCTCAGCATCAGCCTGCCTCAGCATTCAAAATGTGGCCCTGGAATGGAGTTCTGGGAACTCGAAGAACACGAAGTGGCCTACAGTTGGCTCCGGGCATTCGAAATCATGCCCAGGAATGGAGTTCTGGGAACTCGAAGACCACGAAGTGGCCTACAGTTGGCTCGGGGCATTCAAAATCATGCCCAGGAATGGAGTTCTGGGAACTCGAAGACCACGAAGTGGCCTACAGTTGGCTCCGGGCATTCAAAATCATGCCCAGGAATGGAATTCTGGGAACTCGAAGATCACGAAGTGGCCTACAGGTGGCTCCGGGCATCCAAAATGTGGCCCGGGAATGGAGTTCTGGGAAGTCGAAGAACACGAAGTGGCCTACAGGTGGCTCCGGGCATCCAAAATGTGGCCCGGGAATGGAGTTCTGGGAAATCGAAGAGCACGAAGTGGCCTACAGTTGGCTCCGGGCATCCAAAATGTGGCCCGGGAATGGAGTTCTGGGAAGTCGAAGAGCACGAAGTGGCGTACAGTTGGCTCCGGGCATTCAGAATGTGGCCCGGGAAAGGAGTTCTGGGAAATCGAAGAGCACGAAGTGTGTGACTGTATGCGAAAAACGATCCCCGCCGGCAAACCCCAACTCGTCCCCAACGGCTGCCCAGACCCCCCTGTGGAGTGATGTGCTGCTCTCTTTTTAGCCCATTAGAAACCTATCAGTCTTCGATGTTAGGTAAAAACGACCGGCCAATCGCTACATTACCAATCCTTTACAAGCGATTTTCCGGGATGTTACGTGACCGCCCCCAGCCCTTCATCATCTCTGCGCAGTCGTCAGACCGCGAGGCACGCCAACAAGAGTACTCGACGTCTGACCACATGCTCGCAGTCACGTTGCTCGTGGAGGGCTGCTCAGAGAGGGGCCAGGACCTGTGGGCCGGCCTCGTGGATTTCGAAAAGGCTCTTGACGCAGCGGAGCATTCTTCGTCATGGACGGCGTCGCTTTCGTTGGGCGTGGGAGACGGGCGCATTGGACCATTGCAAAAGTTGCACAGGCACCAGACAGCGACGGTCATAGCAGGCGCGGAGCCGAATATCCAGAGGCGTGAACCAAGGCGACCCGGCAAGCGCGCATTTGTCCATCGCGGCGATGGAAGTGCGCTTCCGCGGCCTGAAGAGAATGCGGCACGGACTCAATAAACGCCGCTTAGAGCAGCACAACGGCGCGGTCGTCGACGAGCCCGGAGACCCATTCACCAACCTTCGCTTTGCAGACGACGTGCTTTTGATCGCACACAGCAAAGGGGGCGCGATGAAGAGGCTCACAGACTTGAAAATGGAAGCTGCTTTATACGGCCTGGCGGTGCACCTGGGGAAGACCAAGGCGTTGACGCACGTTGCCGCCAATGCGCCCACAGCTGCGCAGGTGGCCGGGGCCCCTTGTCGAGGTGGTTCCGAAGATGGCCAGAGAGAA